TCCAAATACCTCATGGTTTTTGATAGACAGAGAAATTGGTCCAGAACACGTGATCGTGCTCATTGCAAAAATTTATCGATAATCTAGCATATTTCTTTACCATTTCCAAATTTTGATTGGCCTCTTCCAAATTTACATACGTGAAACTTTCCATTCCGGTTTGTACAGCTGTGCGGTACCTGCGTCGTAATATAAGCCCGGGGATTCAGTGTACTTTTCTATGGTGACGTCGAGAGAAGCTGTTTGTTTATGCTCCAGAGGGTCCACAGTCCTGCAGGCATGGCCCTGCAATCAGCCAAAGAACAGTTTCAGGCTGTTGCCACGAACATTGAGAGTAATATTTACGCCGTCGACGGCTGTTACTTCGTGAGCTCCTAACCAAGGGGGTGAGAGTTTCAGTGACTTACCTCTCCTAACCCTTTCCTCATGGAGTAAGACTTTTTTATCCAAAACTGAAAACAACGGAATGTTTACAATTTTGTCTTGCTGTTCCTTACTTCGTTCCATCTTAGCTATCAGTTTGCTCTTAGCTAATTCGTAACTGGACTGAGATTGACTGCGATTCCCAATGCGCCAGGTATATTCGGCTTCCTGCTGAACATCAGCTCATGCGGCCTGAAACCTGTGGAGTGACGTGCGATGGGTGACTTCACTGTGGGAACAATATATTGTTAGGCAGCCGTGATAGTAGGCACTCCCGTGGTTCCATTCTCCTCTTTCGAGGTTGCCTCGCGCCGTGAACCATTGTAATTACCGTGCTAACCGTATCAGCTTACTGAGTTGTTATCACAGAAATGCGTGTTCGGGGCTAGCGTTGGAGTTAGGGAGCGTTTAGCCAACCGTTATTTAGCAATGGGTGACTTCACTGTGGGAACGATATTTACCCAGCCGTAATGGTAATTGACGTTTGCGTCGACTTTGCTATTTTTCGGTTTCTCTTGGACGAAATGTGGACAATTGATCCTGCATGAACTACGTTTCCTACTTTAGCTATCATAGACCTACCTTGAGCACAACCAGTCACCGAGCTCCTCAACTCACTCAAGTAACTACAAACTGAACGCTTTGGGTAATTTCAATAAATTATTCTTCAATATAATGTCTCAATAAATTTTCAAATTTAATGTACAAAGAACATTTATTCAAATAAAAAATCCTAATTTAATACTGTTTAACCAGGTTAATCCTGGGAACCAAGTTTCCCGAATCATTTTTTCTGACAAATTTCACACAATTTAACGTAATCCTCTATATCTCGTTTCATACCTGACCAAGATACAAAGAGCTTTATCCTTTCATAGGTCTTGTTCATTCCTAAAAGATCGCCTGTCGGGTTTTCATGCATTTCTCTGAGAATCCTCGCCTTATCTTCCTGGCTAGCTCTTGCTTTGTTACCTTCGTTTTCCGAAACTGGTGTAGTAACATGGATTCTGTTGAGTGAGTCTGCATTTTTGTTATCTGAACTTTTCTTATAAATCACTTCATAATAGCGTTCTTCGAGCTTTAAGCTCCATCTTAAGAGTCTCGAACTCGGGTCCTTCAAACTGAATATTCATGTCACGGAATGGTGATTTGTGAGTATGGTAAAATTCCTGCCATACAGATTTTGTCTAAAGTGTTTGCAGTCCCAAACAATAGCTAACAATTCCTTTTCTACTGCTGGGTAATTCCTTTCTGCACTTTTGCGTTAGCATAGTTGGTTGAGGGGCTATGCTACAAGCTGGAAGGTTGCGGTTTCAAGTCCCGATTAGGTCACTCGATTTTTTTTCAACTGACCTAATCCTTTCGGCCACATTATGGCCCTGAGGTTGACAGCTTCTAACAGAAATGAGTACCAGGAATTAAATAATTTTCCTGGGGAGTAAAGCGCGGCCGGCGCGTAAGGCTAACAGCCTTACCGTCAACTTTGAGCCGATTGTCTAGATAATGTGGGACCCTCAACGTCTCAACCCTATGGGCCTTCACGGCCTGTTACAGGGATAGCTTTACTTTTTTACTGCACTATTCAAAGTTCTACTAGCATAAGCTACGGAACGTCCTGTCTGTGGATCCTAGACTTAGAACTGCTCCAATGTCTTCATTATTCGCATCTGTAGTTAGCAAGAAAGGTCGCGTGAAATCAGAGTCCTGAGGCAACGGCTCAGTTGTTAGGCATTCCTTTAAGGTACTGAAAGCCATATCCGTTTTATCACCCCACACATAAGGCGTGTTCTTTTCCAACAATTGTGTCAGCGGTTTAGCTATTTGCTAAAATTGGGCAAAAACTGTCTGCAGTAGCCTGCCAAACATAAGAAGCTTTTTAGCGTCCATGTGGATGTGGGAAGTAGGAAATTCCTGACAGTTCCTACTTTTTTTCATCAGGTTTAACACCGTCTTTAGTTACGACATGTTATAAAAATGCTACTTCACACTTATAAAGCTTCAGTTCTATGTCATATTTTCTCATCCTAAGCAAAACTTCTCTTAATTAATGAGCATTCAGCCGTAAGGAGCATGTAAGGGCTGGGCCATAAAAACCGATCCCGGCACATCGACTTTCAATGACCTGTGGGAACTGCCCACATTCAAGCAAATATGAAAATGTGTGCTCAGCCGTAAGGAGTACTGGATGGTCATAGGAATTCTAAGTGAGATTTCCAGTTAAGAGGATTTTAACCTCGAGGGGACATCACCTGCAGGAGGCGCCCATACGCACGTTTCTCCCCGAAAAGGGCGAGCTTCTTATTTTGTATTCAGAAAGAATTATGGAGTTTAGACTATTCAATACTGAAAAAGGCGGACACTTTAGAATAAACAAGTAGGGTCGCCCGTGGTGCATGGTACACGCTCAAGTCTCGCAAAATTAAGCGGCGCTGGAATATACAGAATGTTTAAAAAATAACTTTAAATTTTTGAAAGCTTATATAAATTTATACAGAGGACATACACAACGTTTTGAACTGTCACCTTGCTTGATGCACGTGGTACTGTAGTACCCAATATCGCCAACGTGAGCGCTCCCGCAGTTGAAATCAAGATAGCTACTTTCACATGTGCAGAACGTGCTCGTTGTGTGTTTTGGTTCGAAGAAACGAAGTCTGTTACACAAGTTCAAAGGAAATTTCGAAATCAGCATCGCAAGGAACCTCCCAGTAGGACTACAATTTACTCCTGGCACAAGAATTTTGTTCAGACCGGATGTTCTGTGCGCCATGCCGAGCCACCCGTTCGGCCACGTGTTTCTGACGCTACAGTGGAACAGATTAAGGAGAGCTTCGTTCGAAGTCCACGAAAGTCAACGCGACGTGCGTCTCGGGAAACTGATATTCCAAATGTTACTGTGTGGCGAGTGTTACGAAAACGTTTACACTTGAAAGCGTACAAGCTATCCATCGTTCAACACTTTACGGATTCAGATAAGGTGGTTCGTAATGAATTCTCTATGCAAATGTTTCATCGGATACAAGACGATGAGAAGCTTCTGGACTCCGTAATTTTCAGTGGTGAGAGCAGGTTTCATGTCAGTGGTAAGGTCAATACCCACAACTGCAGGATCTGGGGCAGCGGAAATCCACGCGTATCCCTGGAACATGTTCGTGATAGCCCAAAGGTGAAAGTGTTTTGCGCCCTCAGCAAAGAAAGAGTGTACGGCCCCTTTTCTACATGGAGACGACCATTACCGGTATATCTGGACATGCTCCCAGAGTTCCTCACTCCAAAGTTAGACGAAGATGACCAAGTAGGACGCATTCACTTCCAGCAAGACGGCGCACCCCCTCATTACCTTGGAGAAGTGCGGGAGTACCTCAACTCCCGTTTCCCAGGTCGGTGGATTGGTATAGCGGCGCCGAAAGCATGGCCACCTCGTTCCCCGGATCTTACTCCCCTGGATTTTTTTTCTTATGGGGATTCGTTAAAGATCGAGTGTTCGTACCGCCTTTGCCTGCAAATGTCGTTGAGCTCCGAACTCGAATTACTGCCTCAGTTGCAGAAGAGAGACCAGAGATGCTACGTAGCGTGTGGCAAGAGACTGACTACAGGTGGGACGTCTGCCGCATTAGCAATGGAAGTCACAGTGAACCATAACTATCCAAGGTAAAACTCGGTGTTTTGCTACATTATGACAGTTCAAAACGTTGTGTATGTCCTCTGTATAAATTTATATAAGCTTTCAAATTTGTAAAGCACTTTTTGAAACACCCTGTATATTATAGTTAGTCACTAGACGTTTCCTGGCAACAAATCTTAACAATGGAGATTCTTCAACTTCCGTGGTCATGTTGTTGCCTTCTGGTTAACGCTCCACACTTTAATCTGAACTGAACCACTTTGCAAGGCTCGAATACCTTTTCCTTGATAAAAATTGGTACCTCCGGTGAACCTTGGGGACTTCCCACGAAATCACCAGTGGACCATGGGGCTGTGGTAGGATAATTGCTGATGGTATGTTCACCTGCAAAGCAATGTCTACACTTCACACTTTGTACAGTTGCGGTGGATACAGCAACAAGAAAACGTATCGTAACCCTCTGCGGATCTCACACCACAAAGGGGAGGGAAACACAGGCTCACGAACTGGTTCTAGAGGGAATCACTATAGTCTCTTGAAGGTGCGGCACAGCTGCTTTGTCGAATATACCCTTGAGTACGGCTATACACCGACCCACTGCAACATCGTCAGCCACCTTATCCATGATTGCAGTAAGCTCCCCCGCCCCCAACAACGACTGGTGCCCGATACAAGTTCCAAAACAGAAACAGCTGTCCCCTGCTTGCAGTTGTGCTGCCGCCATGACCAAACAGAATAGTGCCGACATCTAGAAATATTCTCCGAATTTAACCTGCTCTTAAACTCTTGGTGAATGTATAATTTTTATTTGTTGGTAACACCTGAGCTGAAAATGGAAAATAATTTCTCACGATTCCACATACTTACAGGCAAAATGACGGAAGAATCTCGATTTGTTGCCTGGTAATAAAAGATAAATCTAATTTTTCCATGCATTGTTTCAGGTAGCCGAGTTTTTTCTCGCAGGCTTCAGCTCTTTGGTGAGGGTTACCTTATGGGTGGCTGGTAAGTAACATATTGTCACGTGTTAGTGAGTAGACACTGGGTTTGAATTGATTACTTGATTTGCTGAACAGTTATGAATCATAACTACAAATGATTATAATATTCTCGTTAATTTACACACACTACAAATAATTACGGCACGCACAATAACTTCACAGTTTGTTAAGTCTTCACTGGTCGTTGCTAGCTAACATCAGAGTCAAGTCACATCGCGACCGACGATCGGTCAGTCCGTCCGTCTTGGTTTCTGATCCCCTCTGGGGTCCATGACCTGGCCTTGGTTACTGACAGACAGTTACGGTTTCTTCGATATGGGTCGGCCTCTCTGACGAGAGGACAGATCTCACATTTGTCGAAGTCATTGTCCGTCTATTGTCAATATATTCTGAATGTTTGCAGGTTTACATGTACAGTACATGATATAATAACGTACATATAGCAGCTGTGAAGTCCTCTAGTCCCGAGCAAAGATCCCATCTTTTTTCAGACATTTATCATACATAATCTGCAGAGTGCTGTAAATATATATGTTCAGTAAATACTGGCTCGTGAATGAGTTATGCCCAGTGCCGTTTTTGTTTTCAATTAGATAGCATTTGAATGCTTGTATTGGGGTTCTACTCAGGTCTATCTTGTAGACTTAGGACGGTGTATCTTTTCAGTCTGTGTGTAGTTTCGCTGTTGTCTAACATGTTCACTGCTAGTGCATTTGTGTGCTTTTCTAATGTTCTTAAGAATTTGGTATTCCACTTTTTCTATTTCACTGAGCACTGTTTTTATTTGGAGATCTTCATGGATCCTGTGTATGTTTACATACCAAGGTGCGTTCCGATGGGTCGGAGGGCCTTGGACTGAAAGCGCTGGAGGATTTCGATGGTTGAGCTGTTTCCTTTTGGTTTTGATGTGCTTTGCCCATCTCGGTCTTCTTTCGAGATGCATGCCCAGATATTTCACTTCTTTCTGGGGTGGTTCAACATGGTCCATTTGCACTGTCGGACAGGTTTGATTGCGTAGTGTGAATGTAATTTGCGTAGATTTGCTTCGATTCATTTTAATTCTCCATTTCTTTGCCTAATCAAGTTTATTCTTTCACTGAGGCTATTGCTGGACCTTCATTTGTGTCTAAGATTGCTGTAACATCTACGAAGGTAGCAGTTGTTGAGTTGTCTGACGTCGGCAGGTCGCTTGCATAGATAAGGTATAGGACAGATCCTGCGACACTTCCTTGCGGTACGTCTGCTTCTGTTTTCCTTAAGTTTGTGGTTTCGTCTTTGAATTTTACTTGAGAGAGTCTATCCGTTAAGGGGCCCATACACGTACGAGTCTGGCTCGGCGAGCTTGACTCGGAGTAATTTCACCATAAACGCATGAGCTGACTCCCAACTTTGCGACACACATACGGACGAGTTTGGCTCATTGGAACTCGAGCCGAGTCGGGCTCGCGAGCCAGACTCGTACGTGTATGGGCCCGTTTAGATGTAATTCCAGTATTCAGTAGTCTTCATAGGGAAGGTTTCTCTGATTCTGAACAAGAGGCCTGGGTGCCATACTTTATCATGCGCTTGTGTGATGTCTGGGAGCGCCGCACAGCAGTACAGTTCCTCTTATTGTCTGTGCAATTCGGAGTACTTGTTCTGTGGTAGTGTTTCTGTCCGGGAGGAGTCGGAGTTCTTCTACTACCTGGCGTAATCGCTTGAGTACTGCTTCTTCGAAGACTTTGCTAATTACTGGGTGTGGGCCCAAAGGTCTATATGAGCTGGCTTCCGCCGCGGTCTTCCAGATTCCGGAACCATGTGAACTGCGTGACTTTCCATTGAACTGGCGAATATCACGTCCTAATAGTCTAGTTACATTTAAAGTGTAACATGTTGTGTGTGATTCATAACCCACCGATATGATACCCCCTTTCATCCGTGAGACTATCAGTAGATGAATGCACACTAATTATACTGTAATTCTAGGCGTCATCACATTGGATCCACAGTTGCTAGTATACAAGGTCCGTATAAAAAGTATCGGGAAAAGTTCCGGGAAAATATATTTATTTAAGATATTGCTACAATGCCTCAAAATTCTTGAAAATACATCCCTTGTGCATCGATACACTTTTGCCAACGGCGTTGCCACGACACGAAGGCTCCCTGGTAGGCGGATTCCGGAAGGTCCTTAAGGGTCCGCGTGCAAGCCTCTTTGACGGCACTCAGGGTCCCATGATGGTGCCCTTTGAGGGAGGATTTCACTTTCGGGAACAGGAAAAAGTCTGTTGGTGCCAAGTCGGGACTGTAGGGGGGTTGGGGTACCGTCGCGATGCCGTTTTTTGTCAGGTAGTCGGTCACCTTCGGGACGAGTTTCGTGCAGAACTTACGCATCGCCAAATCTTCAGTGATAATGGTGTGCACCGTCATCTTATCAATGCCAACACGATCTGCAATAATGCGCACACTTAACCGACGGTCTGAATTGAGTACGTCACGCACACGTTGCACGTTGTCGTCGGTTCTTGACGTCGACTGCCGTCCACCGCGGGGCTCATCCTCCACACTCTGTCGGCCTCTTTTGAAGAGCTTGTGCCACTTAAAAACTGCAGTTTGTGACATGCTTTCATCCTTGAACACTTGGCGAATCATGCCCAACGTCTCCGTACCCGATTTCCCCAGTCCAACACACGCGGCTTGCACGCGGACCCTTAAGGACCTTCTGGAATCCGCCTACCAGGGAGCCTTCGTGTCGTGGCAACGCCGTTGGCAAAAGTGTATCGATGCACAAGGGATGTATTTTGAAGAATTTTGAGGCATTGTAGCAATATCTGAAATAAATCTATTTTCCCGGAACTTTTCCCGATACTTTTTATACGGACCTTGTACATAACTTGATATTAAATATGGGTTAGAGTAGACCGTGTTATAGCACAGGTGGTTAGTAGCTCACCCATCTTCTTTCACTGGGTTACATCCCAGAAAATGCCTCTTAATATATGTGACGGAAAAATTGGCACTGGGCAGGGTTCCTCTGTGTGCTCCAGTTTCTCCTACCAGTTCTCATTTCACCATCTGCCACACACCTGCTCTATATTTCAGAGAATTTCTGCTAGCTTTTGTGAATTAATATCCGATTTTACGTCTATTCAGGAGCCAGTACGTGTAGTTACTTTTGATTGCACTCATATAAACAGGCACTGAAATAACACTGTGGGTTTTACGGGGTTGCCATCCCCTTCTAAATAGAAGAAATTGGCATTGCTGTAACAAGCGAGATTTTTGGAGTATGAATGTGCATCTGTGTAGCATTCTCATGTTGTTTTATTTATTATTTTTCAGTGTTAAAGCAAGCACTTCTTTTCTTCAGGGAGGGTGTAAGAGGAACCGTAAGTTTCAGAAAAGCAATAATTTATGCATAGCTTCTAGCTAGTCTATAAGTAGCTCACTACAAAGCAATAACAATTTTGTCTAAATGATGTATTGAAATGTTTTCTGAGAGAATATTTCAAATTCCTCGAAGGGATTTGAAAATAATAAAATGCCATATATTTAGAAAGGTAACTTCCAGAAACCCAGTCACTTGATCAGTAGATGAGTTCCCAAGAGAATTAATTCTTATATATCTCTTTTACTGGTTTGTGTTCCAGTTTTGGCGAGTTATTGTTTTTGCAGTACTGACCAGCCTATCGTGCTACCTAGAGAATAACATTGTAAGTTGTTTGACACTAATTCTTTACTTATTAAACATCACTGTCTCTAGGCAATGGGCCTAAATATATACAGAGTGTCCCAGGAGGAATGTGCCAGACTTCGGGAGGGTGTTCCTTATGTAAAAGAGTGCCGATATAACCCAAAACACCTATGTCCAAAGTTGAACGGTTACGGAGATAATGGCCAGAGAAGTGCGAAACTTTGACAGGTGTTACACACTTGTTGATTACTAAATACATACGAAAACTGGCAGGAATATGTTCTCTGTAAAGTTAATAATGTACGTAACATCAAACTAACTTGTGAATGACATGAAGCCATTAAATTGAACTATAAGAAAACTCGCACGCCATGTCATAGTTGTCCTTAGGGTTCCAAGCACTATACATGACACATGAATGGCAAGCACTGACGATTAGGCTATAGATTTTGGTTTCCTAATTGATTATTTTGGCAAATTGGTCGAAAGCTTTTGGCTAATGAATTGCTGAAATGTAAATTATGATCTTTTATTAGATTACATAAATTTTCGATTATAGACTCATGGCTAAGATATGAACATTTGGTTCAGTATTTAAGTGTTAGGAGGTAACATTTGGTTTGCTAATGGCTTGTCGAAATATAAAAGCTGGTTACACGATTAATTGTTAGGATTTGAACACTGGTTGCAGAGTATGAAAATTGATACATTGATTGACAGTCAGAACGTAACATTTGATTCACTAACTGAGTCATTGTGAGGGTATAAAAATTTAGTTTATTGTTAAGAAGTAAATTCTGGTTAGAGTGTGAAGTTAGTTCGCTGTTATTACATGATAATTTTGGTTTATTGACTGCAGAGTACAGAAATTTGGGTTACGCCATTGAGGTTCAGTAGACGATAGCCGGTGTCTCGGCCGATATTCGAACCCAGTATCTCCGAATAAATGTCTAGAGCAGTACCTCTAGACCAGTGGTTTCCAGAGCTTTTAACATAACGTTCCGTTTTGGTTCTCACCGAAGCCTCATGCCGCCTCCCCCCCCCCCCCCCCCCCCCCCCCC